TTCCTTCTGTTTACGTTACATGTCTGGTTATCTTTCCATGTGCAGACTCTAAAAAGCGTTTGATGTATTTGTATAAACACTTTGATTCCTGAAAATGTGTTCTCAGTTAGATGCCCTTACTGTTCCACAATACACTAACAACATTCGGAAATCATTTAGAGCTCTTTGTTTAATAACACAATGAATGTCATTAGACTGTGACAGTAAATACATTAGTGTTAAAAAGCAGCTTGTAAAAATGAAAAGTTTTATGAATTCTAGAATTATGGACAATATCAAATGGGTGCATCTCTTTCTGTCTTAAATTTTTCAGTGAAATGTTTTTCTATTGATTCTTAACAAAAATATTTCCCGACGAATCAGGCGTTCAGGTTTCAGTTTTGGCAATCGCACCTCTAAAAATAATTTCTGGTGCAAATTTTGAGATTGAGATTGAAAACATAAAATGAAAAATTTCTGATTTTTTTGTTTGCCTTTCAGTTGCAGTACTTAGGAGTCATGAGTTGCTTCTTGCAGCTGCAATGATTGGAAATGCTTCATTTCCTCTAAAATAAAAGCTAGTATTTTCACAGAATTGCACATCTTCAGAATAAAAATTATTTAGAAACGTTTATAAGATCATCAAATCTGTTAATATAAATAGTATACATTTTTTTCCACTTCCCTCTGTTCCCCACAATTATTTGTATAGGAATTTAGTCTCTAGAGAGAATTTTCCTTTGCTGCTGGAGCAGCCAAAGCTGTATTGAGCTGCTTAGTGGAAATATCCTGAATACATGAAGCTGTACCGAGTGAAGGCATGTCAAGGATAAATACAGGTGTATTGGAAAAGCTTGTCAGTTACAAGGATTTAAGCATTATTCATATATATTTGTTTTTCTTTTGAACTACTACAAATATTTGATCTGTTTGTAATATTTTTAAAATAATTTTGAATGGTTCCACTCTATAGTTTCAGACATGGTTTGTTATTTTCTGTTTTCCAGTTGTTTCAAGATCGGCAAATGAGACAAATATTGCCATTCAAAACAAAATAATTACCAACATTATCTGTCCTGGAAATCAGATCTATACATTGCATCTGTGTCTGTATATAAAGTTTCTGTAGTCAATGGAAAATGATGCAATTTAACAATTTGAATTTTCTTGATGTATCAAATACATATTCGTGGTTACAAGTGCTGAATCATGAATAATTTATTGACTTCCTTTTTAAAATATGCAGTGTCTGCTGACTTTGAAGTTCGGTAGTCAACTCTAAAGTTTGTTAGAGCTGACTAATGATTCACTAGAGATTTTTGAGAGATATTTTGTCATCAATTTAAAGCTTGAAGAGGTTTGCTGTTGCAGCCATCTGGTAATTCTTGGTTCTCTGGAGGAAAGAGAAGCCTTTTGATAGAATAGATCAAAGCATTCTGCTGTTTCAGTGACTGATACCTGTAAGTAATGTAGAAGTTTCTCAAAAGGATTTCACAATGCCCGTCTCATTTGCCAAACTGTTGCATTCTAGTTACAATACAATATTAGTCATTAATTATATTTTAATTATATTTAAATCATTATTTAAATAGTTCTGCTCATGGCTAATTTACAGATGTGTTTTGTAAACCCAGGGATTTCTAATTTACTAAAGATGTTGTCATGGTTAATAAAATCGATGCTGAATCTCGTTGTTCTTTGTCTGTACTGACTGTACAGGTGAGGATACACAAGGACTGTACTTCTGCTCTACCATGAGCCTAAGATACAGATGTACCTCTTAGACTGTAGGTGATGTACAACTATAGTGTAAAAATAGATGTCATACTACTTCTAGAACTAGTTCTGTTAGCAATTGGAATTCTGGCATGGGGTTTTTGGATGTTTGGCAGTGAGGAGCAAATGTGGAGAGAGCGAGTTAGGACAGGAAGTGTGCGCTGCAACGTCCACTTGAAACGAGACCAATCTAACGCCGGATTGTACACACACGGTTGAGATTTGTCTGGAATCAGGATGTTGTTTCTATTCCATCAGACATTCCGGATGTACAATTGCCGTGACCACACATGTCCAGTCCTCTGAATGAGTGAGTTTATTGCATCACAAGTACGGCACAAGCTGCCAAAACAGAACGATGAAACTGGCTTTTACCTTGCAAGTTGTTTAGATAAAGAATGTCTGGGTGAGATTTGATGCTGTGTTGTTGTAGAAGAAAGGGAAAGCATTAGCTTGTGATGCACAGTGTAATTCCTCTGTGCAGGAAAAGAGGCAGTGTCCTCTTGCTAGGGATCAGTTAGTGCATGGCAGAGCTAAGGAGATGTGTTAGTGCTGTTCACTTTTCCTTGTATTAGAAGGACTGATGTACTGATGAAAGAAAATAATTAAACCACATGATGTCACGCTGCCCTCAAGTAAAACCTATCAAGGAATTTCAGAAATAGTTGATGTGTCTTGGGATGTAGCCTGCATCATCCTAACAACTAAATATAGTGTTTCTGAATAGGTTAGCCTTATTATCGTTTAACCACTCATAGTATTGGCTGAACAACAATGAATATTAGGTAGTTAAGTTCTTCAAACTTACTGTTCTGTGTGTTAGGTAGTTTGGAGAAAGGAAAAGACTTCTTAGAAGGCTGAATTTGTAAGGACTTAATAAATTTAAAATGCAAACTACATAACTAATACGGTGCTAAATTCTCAGAAAATAGAATGATGGGAGTTTGGCGAAGGAATAGCCAATTTCTCACATGTTAAAATTTGCTTGAACTCAGATTTAAAAGTGGCATATAGATAACAGGAGATAATTCCATGTACTTGTGCTTCTTGTTGTTGTTTAAACTTTTCAGTGTGCTATCCAAGATATCTATCTGGTGTTTGTGTTTCTCATTAAGCTCACAAACAATGGCAAATTTGTAATTCCATACTTGATAATCTTTCACAGTTTTATATTTTGCCTACTGTATCTCTGAATCAGATGCATATGCTTACCTGATTGCTTACCCCCATGTCTGCTCGACATGTGCTTCCTAGCAGCTACAGTTGAACGTTTTCTTTTTCTTCTTTGTTGTTTTTTTTTTTCTTCTAGTGTGGGAACTTCGCTGTTTTGGTGGATGTTCATATTTTGCCTCAAGGCTCCAGTAAAGACACCAGCTGGTTTTCAGATCATGAGAAAGAGGTACAACAAATATCAATTCTACTTCAAAAGCATGTGGCTGCAGGGAAAAACTTGGATTGCCTTGAACTGTTCACAATTTTTCGGTGTTATGAGAATATCGTTAGTTATACCTAACTGTCAACGGTCCGTGTGGGACCCCTAAGTCAACCACATGTGCTTTTTGGGTCACTAATGACCACTTTCAATTTGCCTTTTAATTTTTAAACTCTTTGTGTTCATACATGCATGTGTGCATGCTGTCGTGATTCTTCTGACTTAACTTTTAATTTTAAAAACATGTCTCTCATAAATGTTTGTAAATTATCCAAAGTGATATAAACCAGATTGGGACAGGTATCATTTTTGCAGACCTTGTTGGTGAAATATCTTTCTATTCATTTTTTTCTCCTTCTGAGAAGCATGAATGATGCTGCATTTAGAGAGTGCAGGAAAACATAATGAGTGGGCACGGTGAAGTATAGTAGAACCATTGTACCTTATGAAAAGAAACTCCCAATCTTTATTTTTAAATGTATCATTTGTATATCCTGACAACAGACCAAATTTTGGAAAATCAGTGCATCAATGAGCAGTAAAATTTGGAATATAACTTTCATCAGATTATTTATGATTTCTGTTACAATCTGGTGATGAGTTACTGGCAGGAGTTTTCCCCTATTTCAGTCGGTGTGGGAACTTGAGAAGTTCCCTATTGAAAACGAATGCAGGACGTGTTTCAAATGCCTGTGGACTTTCCCGCAAGTCTCCGTTACGGTAATTTTCAGCGGATGGCTTTCCTAATAATGGCGTAATTAACTTGTCACTGCAGAGCATCCCCGTGCGTCCCAAAGTAATGCATTTGAATAAAATTAAAAGAAACGATAAATTAATATCCTGGGGGAGCGAAAGCAGAATATTTAACAGCATGTGGTTCATCTGATTTGTGCTTTATTAGGCAGAGAAAGAAGAAAATAGGGGAAATATTTTAGATTTCTTTTTTCTGACTAAATGAATACTTATTACCCCTTCTATTTATAACCAGTTTTACTATCCCGGTTATCTGACTTTTAAGTGTTTTCAAAATGTATATTGTAAGACTGCCAAAACAAAAGATATGAATTTCAGGAAATTAGCTCATGATTGATTTAATAAAAAGGCATGACAGGGCAGCATTCATTACATTTCTGTGACTGCACGTTTTGAGTGAAGTACAAAGGTTGCATATTTTTTTGGAACAGTGTGATTCCAATGGCTTTACAGTTCGCTTCCTGAAAGTCCTATGTGGAGCCTTTGTTAAAGTGGGGGGAAAAAAAGGTCAGTAGGATACTAGAGACAAATTATACCTATGTAATTTTTTTTTTTTGAGAGCTTTTACGTATTCATCACAAGCAGTTTTCTACATTTTTGTTGTTTCCGAATTCTGGAAAATACTAGTGGTGGTACTGCTTGTCTGTGGGAAAAGCAGATATGTCTCAGACCTCTTGTAACACAAACATGATTTCTGCTGATCCTCTGCTTACCCTGGATGAAAGTCGGTGGCTTTCCAGGGGAGACGAAGAGCCCTGGAAGGATGTTAGGTGGATGCGTGGGCAGAGACACTGCTGCGGAAAAGGAATGCTGTGAAATGGAGCTGCTTGGCAGGGACTCCGCTGGCGATGCCATCCCAGGTGGAAGGAGGGAGCAGTGCTGGCCTGGCAGCTGCCAGCTCCTGCTGGAGCGTGTAGAGCAGACTGGGAATGAAGTGAGCGCCTGTAAGCATGAGGCTGGCATAAGAAAGACAGTGCGTGTTGTCTCGCTGGGCATTGTCCAGACCGCGGTTTGCACACTGCTGTCACGTGGGGTACACAGAGTCATCTTGAGATTGAGGCATCTGGGAGCTTTTCTCTCTTTCTTCCAAATTTCCCTGTTCCTTCTGTCCTGTCTCTTTCCCCCTAGAATAACAAGTAAATGTTTTATCTTCGTACTTCAAGAAACATTTATTAACTGGTTTCTTTTCATGTCATTGCTATGATCGCTCCATGTGCACAGAGAAGATCTTGGTTAAAAGTTCTTTTTACCAGTGGAAAGTACAGAGACAATTCTCTTGCAGCCTGCTCCTGTTTATAGTTTCTTAGATATAGCGCTCTCTAGTTCTTTGTGGAGAACTATTTGAATAATATTTCCATAAGCATAACAACTAGAATATTTTCCATGTAAATTAAGGAAGTGCATGCTCATCTTTATTGTTGCAGAAGGAACCAAACGCACACTGTGTTTCCACTGCTTTCTAGACCTTTTCATTCTAACCTGAATGCGTAGTCCTGTGAAGGAATGTGCAATGAGATCACTTTAATGAGTTAAACAGAAGAATAAGTAGATACAGTATTTTATAATTGTACTCTTGGAGCAGAAAGGAAAATGTATTTCTTACTGTAAGGAGAAAATACTGTTTGTGGTTGACCAATATATGGGCATTGCTTTCATTTAGAGCAATACTTGAAAAATTTGTTGCTCTGCATACTTTCTAGATTAATCTAAAGTAAATGTCGAGCCAAGATCTTTTAGTTTAGATGGTACTAATATAATTTTGTCTATTGTCCAAACACTGTAAAAAAGGTAAAACGATATTTTTGTGTGCCACAAAGTATTGTTTCTGTGAGCACATCGTTATGCAAAATGGAGAATGAAAATAGTGAGGTCTAAAGTCTTAAACGTGTGTATGTATTAATCTGAACACTTATTCTGGTATTCCAGAGATTAATTTTTTGCTCTCACTCCAAGTCTTTTTCTATGGTTATTCTGGCTGAAGGGTTTGTTCTGCTTGAGTTGTATGTGGTTTTTATTGTGCTTTGCTAAAAGAAGTATGAAGAATATGAACGGTTCTGTTTAGGAGCAGAAAAAACAAAAGGAACCGGAGAAATTAGGTTTCTGTGACCTAATTAGCTCTGAGTCTTCCTCCAAAAATTACACTGAATATAAACCAAAATATCTGTTGTGGTTTATAAGGATTCTTGCAGAGAAATAGTGTGTTGACAATTCCTGCAAGGATTTTTACTAACATTTTGCTTAAATACCTAATGTAATGATACATTTTTAACATGTGTTTTTTCCTTACTTTGCATACAAATTAAACTAATTTGCTGTTCAGAAATTATTAGTATTGTCATATAATGCATTTCATCTGCCAAGTGAGAATTTCATAATGTACTTTCTCTTTTGTTTGGTAGCAAAATTGTTTGATTCCCCCACCACCTCATTCCCATTCATTTCCTAAATGGTGCGTTTCTCACCTCTATGTAATACATCAGTACTTAATTGCAGATAATGTTTTTCTTTTTTTTATGTGAAAGGGAGTGATTTTTGTATTGATTTCTGCTGTGTGTCTGTGGACATGTATGTGAATTTATATCTAAATGGGCCAATGGTTACTCTTTCAGGAGGTCTGCATGCTGCTAGAAGAAGTTGTTGCTGCAAGGGTCAAGCACTTCTTGGAAGCGCCTAAACAACGTGGTCAATGGAAGTCAATGGAACATCCACCATCTGGTCCTTTGTTTCTTACTGGTAAAATAAATTATTTAACTTATCGTGAAATAAAGTAAGATAAAGTATGTTAGAAACTGCAGTTCTTTATTTTTTTCCCCTCAGAAATTTGCCATCAGGAAAGCCAGTAAGCCTGAAATAGCTGGTATTTCAGTCTGAAGTTACTTCAGCCTTGAAAAAAAATTAAGTGGATTTTAATTTTCCATGCCATTGGAAAATCAACATAGCACTTGTACGATTAGTGTGAGAGCCTATCGTTAGATTTAAAAACAATGAATGGTATACTCCTGGGTCCTCCAAAAGTGATGGAAGTCTTGCTGGTTTGGAATTCTCATTTCCACTTTAACGTTTAGTTTAGAAATAATATCTTTACTTTTCCCTCTTCTGACAGTCTATTGGTTCTTAAGAAGTTGCTATGATGTGATAAAAGACATTTGTCGTTTCACTGGTATTACTGCAGGTTGGGCAGTAGTGTCAATGACCTTGGGAGTAATTATTGTGCAGGAGAGAACAGCACTAAGCATTTGCCCAGTGGAATTTATTTTTGTGTATGTGAGGGTGGTGAGACTAATAGGTGCAATTTCAGTACATGCATGTTTGAAACTACTGATAATGATCACTGCAGCTTGTGCTCTAATGTTAGATCAGCTTTGGGCTAAATGGCTTGCCAGTTTTTGTTTAATGTTATTTCACTGGTTGTCCTGGTCATCATGGTGGGTTTTAGCAGTTTATAGGCTTATCTGTTATTGTTATATCACACCAATTTATTTTTAAATTGTTCTTAGGAAATAATGACTATTTTTATTACCAGCCTCGAGCATGTTATAAACTTGTCACAGAAAAGAAGGGCTGCAATAGTAAAGCCCTCTGTTAGCCATGGTTTCTCACATTTCCTTAAATATATTGAAATAGATCTCTACAGAAATATGGATTCTGCAGTGAATGTATTTGCGTACTTACAATATACAATTAGGATACAGATAGAGATTTTTTACTTCGATGTATGTTATATTAACAGTTTTAATTCTGAACAAGTTCTTTGCCTCTCAAAATGTTTTCAGTTTTTGAAAAAGTATATCCCTATAGAATTCGAGTTGATAGCTGCAGCTTTAAACACCATTATCAATATTAATCAGTGTTTTTAATAAAGAAAACACAGGTTAAATACTGCATGGTTGGCTTATTATTGCAAAATCTTAGGCATATGTGGGAGCCAAATTGTAATAGCATGACAGGAGCGTTTTTTCCACCCACAAGAACACAATACCACATAACTAAAAAGTACTTCAGGACACTAAAGGAATTTCAAATCCTTTTTTTTCCCCTTGCAAGTTGTAACTACATTTTATCTCTTTAAAGTATTATTATAAATGCTTGTAAAACACATGGATTTTCAGATCCCTGTATTTTTCTGGTTTTGAGTGAACAAATAAAATTTTCTTACGGTGAAAGGAGAGGGACATTACAGAGGGTGGGATCAGAAGTTCTGAGATTTGTTGAGGTCTTTCTGTGTTTTCTTTTACTAAGTGGTATTTTTTTTTTTTTTTTTACAATTTCCTGCCTCAGTAAAAAGTAGGTTTTCAAAAACAATGATTATTCTGTAAGATACAGCTGCCAGAGATGATAATTGTTTCTATATATGTAGACAGATGCAACACTAATTTGAGGGTGTTCATGAGATTTTAGGGTCTTACAGTTTCTTTATATCATGAAGTTTTCAGTAAAAATACTGGTATGCTGTGCCAGGGTTGTGAACTGATCTTCTGCTTAACTCTTCCCCTTATTTCCTGAAAATGAAAAACTTAAGGATATGTGTTTGAGGAGGTCATCAGTAATATCTGTGACGGTTTTAGATTAAAGAATATTTGCTTTGGATGAGGCACAATTACTGCTCCATCAGTTTTCTGCAGTTAATCTCGCTGTCATTAATTAACACTAAAGAAATAAAGGAAGAAAACAGTGTGATAATGAACATTCATGTCAAACTTAATTTCCAAATCCATCTCTTTCCTCTTCTCTCAACCTGCTTTGCTCAGGGCTGTAATTTGTAAGAAAGGAGTGCTTTGTTCAAGCCCAAGAATCAAGTTTATTCAAGTTACATTCAAGTCTGTTCTTACCTGAGAAGGAAATAGCAGAATAGGTGGGTGTTCACCAGAGCAACAGGGACCTACCTCTAAGGGACTGGCCCTTTCAGGTGAGCCACATGTCTAACAGTCTTTAGCAGTTATCACTCGAACGTGGCTCCAAAACCTCTTGTATTTTGCCTTCTTCCCTGGGATCGCAGGTTCTGTTTGTAGAGTACAATGATATGTTCTTGTGTTTTTTCACAGACAGATGAAGTGCAAGATACTGTAGGTGCTGCTGGTGGAATGTTTAAGCTTGCAGCTACTGCTGCTTTTGGAGGTGATTAAAAGTTTTTGAGCCCTTCGAACAGAATGTGGTGGCTTTTGCTCAGAGTTATGCAAGTCTGTGTCTTGAGTTTCACTGCTGTAACCCCCTGCTATTGCAAGGTATAGTGTATCTGCAGAAGGAACGTTAACATGTTTGTTAGCTGGTTATTTACTGCTTCAAGTATCTCAGGCCAGCACTCCACCCCTGTTTGAACTTGCATATTTTCAGGTCAGTTTTCATTAGTTTGCTCTTCATGTTGCAGGATGTATTCCAAATTTATTAGAATCAGAAATATTAGACCAGTATTAGTAAGATTTTACACTACCTCTAATATCAAAGCATGTTGTATTAGGATTTTCTTCAGAAATAGAAGCCAAGCTACCTTTCTTCGATGAGCAGATCTCATCCTGCTGCCTAGATCTGCTGAGCAGAGAAGGCTGTTGTTAAACTGACTACGATAACTATTCTGAAGAGAAAATTTTCACCTATCACAATTTCTTTTTAGTATTAATGTTTAATATTAGTATCATTTAATACCACCTTTCACTTTTGTGGCACTTAATATAAATATCCGTGCATGTTACTTGTTAATTTACATTTCTTTTCCATTTAAGTTACACCCACACAGCGGTGTGCGGTGGGTCGCATACCATCTCATTAGGAAATCTGTGGGTGTTACACACAGGAGAAGAAAGAGAGAAAGAATGGAAAAATGAGAGAAAGTAGCCAAGACAAGCAAGTTCTTCCTATTCTTCCTTCTGTCTGAACAATTTCCCCACCCCTCCCAAATGGCCAGTATGAACAATTTGCCAAAGTAAGCTTTAATTTAGTCTTTGGACATAGGCTTTAGTATAAACTCTCTGTTTCCTGTGTTTAATTAATGTCTAAACGTGTTTGGTTTGGGGTTGTTTTATTTTTTTAAGAGACAATTAAAATAAGGTAGATTTTCAAAGATTTAATTTTGCCTGCAGCCAATTTTCATGGCCAAAATCATGCAAGAGCAGCATTGATCAGGCATGGTTCACTTGCTTTATCTGAAGTTCAGTGAGCGTGCGCCATCCAATAACAAAACCCGTGTATTAATGAATTTCTGTCATTTATGGAAAAACCCCCACTCCTTCACTTTACAGATGTATCGTCTTTAAAACTAGAACTTATGTTTTCATATATCTGCGCCATATGTTTTCACTTGGCACCACTTGTGCTGCTCAGTATCTCGCACTTGTTTTTAGTGGTGATGTCAAGCATCTCCGTGTGTCAGAACGCTCGCCTACTGTAGGCTTCAACAAGCTAAAAGCAGAGCCTGTTTTTTCGTGTTCCACAGAAGGTGGCTGGTTTTGATTAAGAGCAATGAGAATTAAGTAACAAGAGGCTATAAAGAGGTCTGAGTGGAGATGTTAAATACAGGAGAATGACAAAGGGAGGACTGTAGAAAATTAAGGAGAAAGGCAAAGTTTACATGGGCACAGAGGAAACAAAAAGGAGGATGCGGAAAGAAAATACAGCTGATAGAAATATCCACAGTAGAAGTGGAAGGAAGGAAGAAGATATCTTGTAAACTGACCTTCTTCCCCCTCTTGAGGGAGTGGGACAAATTATGTTTATCCTAAAAGTAATTTTCAGATCTTTTCTCGTTCCTTCCCTAGCATCCTTGTTGTTTTTCTTGGCTTGAAAGTGGAACGTTTTTGTTCTGATTTCAGATCTTTTTATTGTACTGTCTCTTCTACAGTGAAAATAATTAGAGAGCATGCTGTCACATGGCACAATGAGCTCCCAGCTTGATTTTATCTGCTTTCTCTGGGATTGTGTATATTTTTTTATCTTTTTAACCTAGTTTTCTAAGGAAATGGGGCTTATTGTGATCATGTTTTCTCTGTGTGTGTCTGTTTATCCATCCATCTTTTCCCCCATTTGCTTTTTGCAAATGTGATTGAACTTTATTAACAGGTAGACGTCTCAGATATTAAATTTTCAGACATTAACTTCTGATAAGCTTACTAAAATAAGAAGCTGGAAGAAATACAAGCGCTATTGTGAATAGTTCAGCCTTCCAAAAATCTGAAATCAAAGTTCACGTCTTATTTAGTATAAAAATAATGCATAAGATGCAATTTCATAAGATAATACATTTCTGTTGCTTATGAAACTGCTTGGCTCTTGTAAGCACATTAAAAATATACAATAAATCATGGTGGTAAATATTCTGAACTGTTTTGGCCTTGCATTTTAATTTGAACGTTATGATGTTTTTAATGAAAAGATCCTTTTCAGACTGTTCTGGTTTACTTCAGGAGTGTTCACTCTTACTGTAGAACGTGAATTGTGCAAGATGTTTGTAGGGTATGTTCCATGTTACAATCCTGTAGCAGCAAATCTGATTTATTCCCACCCTCCCAGCTGTTAACTCTTACTCCTCTGCTGTGGAACAGTGTTTTGTTTGGTTTTAACTGGAATCATTTCACCTATATTGCTTAAACAACAACTCCACAATAATTTGATGGGCGCAACTGGAGAGAAAGTAAGCTCTAGCAGAGAAGCTACCACAGGGGACCGAGGAGGACAGAAGTCTTTGAAATGAGCTTTGATGTTTGCAGTGGCACGTTGTAATTTCTGTCTCTCGAAAGAATTAT